AGCTATGCTCACAAATATGTTCCTAAACACTACTGAGTTGTAACGATTATAAAACCCCACGCAATTCGTGCCCACATCTCCACTGGACACTGCGATTCTGATAATCATGTGAGCCTACGCTTACCTTCACGGACACGTGATGCTGATTATGATTATATTAATTTGCCATTCAGCCTTTACTAATAATAATAATAATTCTTGCTATAATAATAATAATAATAATAATAATAATAATAATAATTATTATTATTATTTGTACTTACATAAGACTTAGGCCCTATGAGGTGCGCCTATAAATTGTATAAGGGCCTGAGCCACTCCCACTCCCTCAGTGTTTTTCTTATGTCAGCGCTTCCGTTCCTTAGCACACCTTCAGCATGTGGCTACCTATCGCGGAATCATATATTGGTTGACTGTTCTTCTCTGACCCCAAGAGTAGCCATTTGTTGTGACCATTCCTTTTCATTTGTTGCCAAAATCAAGATTGGTAAGAGGTGTGTGTGGGGGGGGGGGAAGGGGGGCCGGTGGGGGGGGGGGAGGGGTCTGAATTCCCGACTTAACACAATAAATAAATCCTGTTTTATCCTTCTGCCTCCGATATCTTAAAACCTGGCTACACCGTCGTGAACTTCCCAGATCGCTTGATTTCTATATTCCCGATTTAATTCCCTTAGAGCGATAGTTACAATTCCGTATTTAATTCTCATAAACAGTAATCAATTGACCATCTTGTCTCTGTTTTCAGTGGACGTTAAGCTCTGTCATATCTCCATAATGATCCGCATTGAATTGTGACCTTAAATCAGATGTTAAGCGGATGCCCTGTAACGAACTTGAGATTAAGAGATTATAACCGCGCCACTTTTTATGTCTGCTGGTCGCATAATTTTCCAGTGGCTTTGGATGATCTTTCGGAAGTTGATGCTGTTAACACTTCACATAGATACTTAAATTCAGGAGCTCAGCCCAACAGGTGTTGTCATCAAGCCAGTGAAGTTTTCAAAACATCTTTCAAGTAATTTCAATGTTGGTTTGGTTGAACAGTGGTTTAGAGTGATTGTTGTAACGTGATTTTTTTTAAATGTTTGCAGTGTTAGGGTTGGTTTTTAATCAAATTTACTTCTTCTACTACTACTACTAGAACTACTACAATACTAAGACCACCACCACCACTACTACTACTACTACTACTACTACTACTACTACTACTACTACTACTACTACTACTACTACTACTACTACTACTACTACTACTACTACTACTACTACTACTACTACTACTACTACTACTACTACTACTACTACTACTACTACTACTACTACTACTACTACTACTACTACTACTACTACTACAACAACAACAACAACTACTACTACTACTACTACTACTACTACTACTACTACTGCTGCTGCTGCTACTACTACTGCTGCTGCTGTTGCTGCTCCTGCTGCTGCTGCTTCTCGTACTACTGGTAATTCTTCTTCTTCTTCTTCTTCTTCTTCTTCTTCTTCTTCTTCTTCTTCTTCTCCTTCTTCTTCTTCTTCTTCTTCTTCTTCTTCTTCTTCTTCTTCTTCTTCTTCTTCTTCTTCTTCTTCTTCCTCTGGCTTCTTCATTTCCTGTTCCCCATATCCTCATTCTTATTATAATTATAGTTATATTATTTTTGTTACTATTATTGTTTATCGTTCATTTAAAGATCATCTTCGTTGCACTTCGGACGTGACCATAAGTGCTCCGATCTCCTCCTGAGTATGTCTCCTAGTGTTTGTTTTAAGAGAACTACTGCCATTATGTTCCGGTTGATGTAACAACAAGTGGCTTCCACATGAGGTTCCTGTCTCGCTGCTCCAACTGGTTATTTTTATTATTATTATTATTATTATTATTATTATTATTATTATTATTATTATTATTATTATTATTATCAATTAGCCGCCTAATCGCCGCATATCAACAAACAGACAATATTGTATAATACTGCATACTATTTAGGGGATGAGTTTTCCCTCCTGTACAATTTCACATTGTGCTGGCCTAGCTGCAGTGACACGACCTGAGTCAAGCACCACTACAAAGGAAAGACAAAGTCCAGTATCTCTTCATCAGAGACAAGGATGTCGATTGCTTCTGATCGCTGACTAAAGGCCGTTAGTCAAACTAAGTCATTTACCCTGTCGGCTGTTCCTTCTTCTTCTTTCGTTGTCTCACTAATACCAGTGTTGCGGTTTTGTCGTCTCACTGATACCAGGTTGTAGCCCAGTGTCATGGTTTTGTCGTCTCATTGATACCAGTTTGTAGCCCAGCGTCATGGTTTTGTCGTCTAACTGATACCAGGTTGTAGCCCAGTGTCATTGTTTTGTCGTCTCATTGATACCAGTTTGTAGCCCAGTGTCATGGTTTTGTCATCTCACTGATACCAGTTTGTAGCCCAGCGTCATGGTTTTGTCGTCTAACTGATACCAGGTTGTAGCCCAGCGTCATGTTTTTGTCGTCTCACTGATACCAGGTTGTAGCCCAGCGTCATGGTTTTGTCGTTTCACTGATACCAGGTTGTAGCCCAGTGTCATCGTTTTGTCATCTCACTGATAATAGTTTGTAGCCAAGCGTCATGGTTTTGACGTCTAACTGATACCAGGTTGTAGCCCAGCGTCATTGTTTTGTCGTCTCATTGATACCAGGTTGTAGCCGAGTGTCGTGGTTTTGTCGTCTCACTGATACCAGGTTGTAGCCCAGCGTCATGGTTTTGTCGTCTCACTGATACCAGGTTGTAGCCCAGCGTCATGGTTTTGTCGTCTCACTGATACCAGATTGTAGCCCAGTGTCGTGGTTTTGTCGTCTCATTGATACCAGGTTGTAGCCCAGTGTCGTGGTTTTGTCGTCTCACTGATACCAGGTTGTAGCCCAGTGTCGTGGTTTTGTCGTCTTACTGATACTAGGTTGTAGCGAAGTGTTGGGGTTTTCTCGTCTCACTGATACCAGGTTGTAGCCCAGTGTCGTGGTTTTGTCGTCTCACTGATACCAGGTTGTAGCCCAGTGTCGTGGTTTTGTTGTCTTACTGATACCAGGTTGTAGCGCAGTGTCGGGGTTTTCTCGTCTTACTGATACCAGGTTGTAGCCCAGTGTCGTGGTTTTGTCGTCTCACTGATACCAGGTTGTAGCCCAGTGTCGGGGTTTTCTCGTCTCACTGATACCAGGTTGTAGCCCAGTGTCGTGGTTTTCTCGTCTCACTGATACCAGGTTGTAGCCCAGTGTCGTGGTTTTGTCGTCTCACTGATACCAGGTTGTAACCAAGTGTCGTGGTTTTCAGCATTTGACTTGTGCTTCTGGGGTAGATTGAGCGATGTATTTGTTTGTGTTTTCTGCTACATCATTTATCCACATCTTTCTTTTGTTTTCCTCCCGCCTTCCTCCCAGATTTTCTGCTGTCAAAAGTCTCATATGCTGGTTTGTCCTGCTGCATTCTTGTTAGATGGCTGAACCATTTTATTTTGTGTGTGTCAATATAATCCACATATCTTATTTTAACTTTCTCGCTGGTATTTTCGTAACCCTGTCTTTTGTGTTGGTAATGACCTTGCGGAGATATCGCATTTCACAAGTAGTTATTTTCTGTTGTAGTGCCCTATTCATTGTCAAAATTTCTTGAGTAGAAGCAACAGGTGACAGAACTTCCAGCTTGCTAGGTTGTTTAATTGTATTTGTTGAGTACTTTGGTAGCGAGAGAACAGTGAAAAAAGGACAAGCAGTTCATCACGATCTAAAAGGGTGGTGCAACATAAAGTGACCAGGATCCGAGCGACTTCCAGCATTCACGGGAAAGGCAAAACGGACATACAATGACACCGCTACTGGTACCATTACAAATAGAACTGTGCGTTGGCTGCTGAAGATGGAGATGGGGCGCTTATGGAAATGTCACGAGTGCTACAATGTCTGTTCTAAGCTCAGTTCCTGAAGCTATTGAAAGTGACCCTGTGTGACGTGAACGCGTGTAGAAACTAGGATACTGAAAATCATAGAGTTGGAAAGATAGCGGCGGATAAAATATATAGACAATAAGCGGTTAAAAAGAATTCAATACATAAATATCATACTCATGTTGTGAATTCTAGGGCCCAGTTTGGACAAAAGGGCGGGGTGGGGGTAGACGGGTCAACTTCCCACTAACACTTATGTCATAAGAAGCCACTAATCAGGGATTTGCTCAATGCTGATGAGGTGGCTGACAGCCGCAGATATCGCAGGCTATCTGTGAATTACAACATACCAACTGTCCTTTCCAGGATGACAGCAGGAAAAAATGGTGGAGGGGGAGAGGGGGAAGAATAAGAGGAAAATGAAGAAGAAGAAGAAGAAGATGATGATGATGAAGAAGAAGAAGAAGAAGAAGAAGAAGAAGAAGAAGAAGAAGAAGAAGAAGAAGAAGAAGAAGAAGAAGAAGAAGAAGAAGAAGAAGAAGAAGAAAAAGAAAAAGAAGAATAGATAGAAGAAGAAGAAGAAGAAGAAAAAGAAGAAGAAGAGAAGAAGAAGAAGAAGAAGAAGAAGAAGAAGAAGAAGAAGAAGAAGAAGAAGAAGAAGAAGAAGAAGAAGAAGAAGAAGAAGAAGAAGAAGAAGAAGAAGAAGAAGAAGAAGAAGAAGAAGAAGAAGAAGAAGAAGAAGAAGAAGAAGAAGAAGAAGAAGAAGAAGAAGAAGAAGAAGAAGAAGAAGAAGAAGAAAAAGAAGAAAAAGATAAAGAAGAAGAAAAAGAAGAAGAGAAGAAGGTGCCTATCATACACATGGACACCAAAAATGTAGATATCTACACAGATAGGTGAATATATTGTTGGTAAGTGTATGTTGGCACATAGGTGCGCAGAGGCCTATCGGGGTTTTCTTCTTCTAGATCCGTGGTCTCAGACTTGGGGTATGTTGAAAGAAAAATACCAGAAATGTAAAAAGGTTGAAAAGTAAGTAAAAAAAAAAAAAAAAAAATCAAACATAAATTGCATTCATTCCCCAGAAAGAAAACAAAAACCTCTTCTATAATGAGTTCAAAGTTGGTAATATTGGCCATGTTGGCTTCATTCATTCAAATTTTACGAGCTGATTGCGTCATTGAGGGAGCCACACCTATCTCTGTGACAGAGAATGCATCAGTCTGTGTGCCAATTGATCCTTCTAAAGGCGAAACAGAACAACAATTTGGCAACAAATTTCAGATCTGTCTGAATTCGACATTTCAAGTGTTTGAATGCAACGAAGGCATGAAGTAAGTAACCGTTTGTTTCTATGCACGCTTCCGGTCTATGTACGCTTCTGGTCTATGCACGCTTCTAATCATTGCACGCTTCTGGTCTATGCATGCTTCTGGGCTATGCACGCTTTTGGTCTATGCACACTTTTGGCCTATGCACGCTTCTGGTCTATGTACGCTTCTGGTCTATGCCCGTTTCTGGTCTATGCACACTTCTGTTCTATGCACGCTTCTGGTCTATGCACGCTTCTGGTCTTTGCACGCTTCTGGTCTATGCACACTTCAGGTCTATGCCCACTTCTGGTCTATGCCCACTTCTGGTCTATGCACACTTGTGGTCTATGCACACTTCAGGCCTCTGCACACTTCTGGATTATGCACGTTTCTGGTCTATGCACACTTGTGGTCTATGCACGCTTCTGTTCTATGCACGCTTTTGGTCTATGCAGACTACTGGTCTATGCACACTTGTGGTCTATGCACACTTGTGGTCTATGCACACTTCTGGCCTCTGCACACTTCTTGGCTATGTACACTTCTGGTCTATGCACACCTGTGGTCTATGCACACTTCTCGCCTCTGCACGCTTCTGGTCTATGCTCGCGCATGGTCTATGCACACTTCTGGTCTATGCACGCTTTTGGTCTATAAACGCTTTTGGTCTATGCACACTTCTGGTCTATGCACGCTTCTGGTGTATGCAGACTTCTGGTCTATGCACGCTTTTGGTCTATGCACAATTCTGGTCTATGCACGCTTCTGGTCTATGCACGCTTTTGGTCTATGCACACTTGTCGTCTATGCACACTTCTGGTCTATGCACACTTCTGGTCTATGCACACTTCTGGTCTATGCACACTTCTGGTCTATGCACATTTCTGGGCTATGCACGCTTCTGGTCCATGCACGCTTCTGGTCTATGCACGCTTCTGTTCTATGCACGCTTTTGGTCTAAGCACACTTCTGGTCTATGCACACTTCTGTTCTATGCACACTTCTGGTCTATGCACGCTTCTAGTCTAGGCAAGTAATTCAAGACCGGAACGGAAGAAAATAAATTATTGCAACAATGGAAAGGTGCTGCGACAATAAAGAAAAATTCATCCAATCAGTTTTATTTATCGCATTAAAGACAACATCATCAACATGTAGCAGGTTCTTTGCAGAATGTCGCTCTCATCACAGTCTGCCTGAAAGAAACTCGTTCTCTTGCCAGTTCTCCCGCCTCATGTACTTTCATACTCAAGGAGTCACTTATTTGCTGTGCCCATCTTACAGACTGACTGACTCTCTACCCCACCAGGACATCACACAAGCGATAAACACCCGATGACACAAAGTGCCACCATGCGGATGAGGATCGCCGTGGAGAGGTCCCAGAAACCGCGTTCAGACATTTGGCCATATTTATGGCCTTCCTATATTGCGGCCCCTGGCAAAAGCCAGAGTAGGGCTTCAAATGACAAAAAATTTCATCCTGAAAAGTACGAAACTGGAGGTGTCGGTCGGCACTTGCCCCTCCTTCCTGGTACCATGCCTTCTGCTATAATTTTTTCCAATCCGTCGTGGCGCTTGATATGACCAAAAATATTCCAGCTTCTGAGAATAGATGCTGTTTATTGGCCAATTTTCCTTGATGTTCAGATCTTTTAAGATGTCAAAATTTCTCCTCTTTTGTGTCCAAGATATTCTGAGAATCGTCGGTTCGGGTCTTGACGGTAGCTGACCTTTTTTCCCCCCTTGACTCCCAGATCCACCCCGCCATAAATGGGTACCAAGAAACGACCTGGGAAATAAAGGCGGCCTCGTGATCACTCACCAAGTGCCGATTCGTCTATAAAATATAGGTCTAGCCCTATATGCCCTGTACACCTACAAGTCATGGAAAAGTGCCCTTCAAACAGTTCTGGCATTCTGAAAGGATCATGCAGTCTTTTCGCAAGTGTAATTATTCTGGTTATCTCCCTTAGGTACGACGTGGTCAGCGCAGACTGCAGGCAAGGACCACACCGATGCCAAGGCGACGATGGGAATTCAACACTTACTTCATCAACACAGGCAACAGAGTCGAATGCAACATCGCCACCACCAGCGTCAGCAGCAGCAGCAGCAACAACAACATCCACATCGACATCCACATCGTCAGTGAAAGCAACTACGACAAAGAAAGCTAATGTGACCTCGAAACCCGGCAACATGAACGAACCATCGCCGGTGGTCGTTCCCCTAGGAAGTAATTAATTATCATTTCTTCAGATCAGTAAAAAAAAAGTTTACAAAAAATTAAAGGACCCTTTTCCACGCCTTTAAGCCTATTGGGCATATAGGGCTCGACCTATATTTTATAGACCAACCGCACAAGATGGGTGATGTGGGCAACATCACGCCGGCCGCCTCTACTTCCCTGTACTGCACCCGTTACCCACTCAAGGCTGGGTCGACCTGGGAGTCAAGGTCATTTTTGAAGAAAAGTCCGGCTCCACCAGTGAGCCAGCCCACGACCTTCCGATCCGCGGCGCGATTCAGATTAGTATTTCATCAGTAACACTGGCTCTGTTACAAGCATGTCGTACAAGGCGACTAATTAAGCAAGTTTCTTACAGAGTGCATCTGCCTGAAAGGCGATGACCCAACAGTGTGCATACAAAAAATAGCCAGATCTATCCGTAAAACACACAAAACACACAAAACACATGTTCTGAAACAAACTCAAAGTCCAGAAATAATCGAACGATCAGAACTTTCTGCCGAAGTTTACAGTTGACGAGGGCTAAGAAGAAGGATGAGAAGAATGTTATCTAGAACATTTCCTTGGTTCCTCCACTCCTCCAATTAGCAATTTATCTATTTAATTTTGTTCTTATCCTCGCTTGGATCAATTTTGTATCTGCAATTATCATTTCATGCGTTATATTCACATGTATTAATAGGCACTCATAGCGAGAAGAATAGATATAATGGAACATCTTGAAAATGGTCTAGTGTGTGTTCCTACTTTTACTTCTTTCACCACACATTTATGTGGTTGATCCTGTTCTTCCCAGTAGTGGAAGATTGGTGTTCCAACCCCCAAGGGGAAACTATTTGGGGACGACAAACGATGTGAAGCTTCCTAGCTAAGTGCATGGAGCGATACTGTGAGCTGTAAATTACATGGGACATACTTATGGTATGTGATCTCGGAGATGTGGATTCCACAGTGCATAATGGTTGTAAGTAAAATAGTACCAACATAATATTAACGCGTCTTAAATGTTTCAGTGGACCCACAAACAGGCAAAAATGCTGCGGTTGGTTTAGCAATACATTTTTTTTGTTTCATGTTTTTTTTTTTCTCAAGTGCTTTTTTTTTCTTTTTCCAGATGTTCATTCTATAGGGTTAGCATCTTAGGGATGAGAATCAAACAAGTACAAATCCAGGAATGCCTGGTCAGTTCTTTAACCATAGAACGGTTACAAAGTGACCTATAGTCCTTTATGGGTGGGTCTGGGTTTGAGTAGATGATGTGTGTTCAAGGAATTCACCTCACTGTGTTCTTGTGTGAGTTCCAGGGCCCCGACTGTGGGATAAAAGAATAGTCCCACAGCTTTTAAGCAAGCATGTGGTAAAAAGCGAATAATGAAAGATTTGCTAAAATTGGAGTGTTGAGCCAAAAAGCACAGATATCACAGTCTAGCTGTAAACGCCACTGCACAGGCCAACCACTCTTATAAAGGCTAAGGTAGAAGCACTATATTGTCTGAGATCATCTAGTAAATATTGGACGTCACAGCTTTCAGGACTAGTCAGTATTACCCCTGTCTCCCTCATCAGCAACAAGCAAAATGTGTCTATGCCGATGGCATCCGTTGGCATCTGGTTAACTTCTCGTTTTGCCTGAAGCAGAACTGCATTGTGATGTAGTAACATCAGTCTACATATAACTTTATTTTATAATGCTTTCAGCGTGTACATCCGACAAATGCAAGCCACCACACTGTTCTTGCTTGAACGCCAAGCCGAACATTGACCTTAGCAAAGCTCCCATGATGGTCATGCTGACTTTCGACGATGCAGTTACCGCGGCTTACATGGATGCCTTCTACAGGGACCTCCTAGTAGACAACAGACACTCCCTCAGGAACCCTAACAACTGTTCAATTAAGTGAGTGACCAAAGCCCGCTGGCATGGGGGGGGGGGGGGATTAGGGGCTTCTGCCTTTTATAATTTTCTAAGGGCTGAGTTCAAGGTCCTGAAGCCTTGTTTAAGTGAGTAATAACTATAATAAAGTGAGTAATAACTATAATAATACAAATTATTACTATAATTATTCTTATATTATTATGATTATTTTTATTATGTGGTGAATGGCACGCAACTGCAATAATATATTTTGAATAATCTAAAATTTAGAAGGGAAAAAAAAAATACTTGAAAAAACAAAAGAGACCGTCTCAACATAGTGGAGTGGGTGTCGGGGGTTGGAAGGGGGCATGGTGTGGGGTGCAGGGGGGGGGGGAGGGGAGGGTATCACTGAGTATGCTTGGAAATGTCCTAGTGGCCTGAATCTAAGTCCCCCAAAGAAAGACTGAATCTATAAGTTAAGCTGAGATATTGCTGGGGAAAAATTTCTTGGTAATATTTTAATGTTGTGTAAAACAAAACATACATAAAAAGGAAATTTTTACACAAACTTGCTAAAATCCTAAACATTAGAAACAAAATCCATTCTCTTGACTCTTTGTTGATGATCAGGCTTTGATTGCAGATTTAGCCATGAATTTACAACATCTCATATCCGTTAATGAAGAATGTAAATCAAATAAAATGAGAATCAACATCAAAAAGGCAGAAGTAATGTCAATAGGAAGAAAGAAGAAGAACTTTAATATAGCATTAGACTATACATATATTAAACAGGCATCTGAGTTTAAATATCTTGGAACAACATTCACTAAAGATGCTAAATTGGACAAAGAAATTGATTTCCGATGCAGTAAAGCTGGCATAAGGCAATCCCAGTCAGCACAAAGAAACATCTCATACAAAGCCTATTCATTCCCACCCTATGATATCAGTGCCAGACGTGGTCACGCACAACAAAACATAAAAGACAATTAGTAACCATGGAAATGAGGTGTCTGAGAAAGGCTGTAGGAGTGACCAGAAGAGATAAAATCAGGAATGAGGTCATACGAGATAAAGTCAGCACATAAATAATTTTAAATTACATGCAAAATGGTTTGCCCACTTGGAGAGAATGCCTTCTGATGCTATACCATAAAAAGTGTATAGCAAAAGAGGCGTGGGATGTAGAGCAAGAGGCAGACCAAGAACAATAAAGGAAGATAATATCAGAGAAACTCTAAAGCACCACGATGTGATTAGGGGCGGAGTAGCCAGAACAGTACTTGAAGCGGTAAATGGGGACGTAAAAAAGAAGAAGTAAATGTGAATTACAAAGACTGTAAATGCGAGAATCAAACATTCTGTAAATATTCTCTTTGTAGGCAGTTTCAGGTATTTAGTAACTCTACCTTTTTGATGGCAGTCGGTCTACTCTTTTCGATGTAGATTTGCAGTCTTCTTCTTCATCTCTCTCTCTCTCTCTCTCTCTCTCTCTCTCTCTCTCTCTCTCTCTCTCTCTCTCTCTCTCTGTCGCTCTTTCTCCTCTCTCGCCCTTTCTATTACATTCTGTCTTATTTTGTCTGTCTCGCACGAAACACATGTTGGCATGAGAAAAAAATTGGGTCAACTGTCTATTAGCCAGCTGATGAAACCTGGCAACATTTTCCAGTGCATTTACTTCACGTGAATGCAAACATTCTATTGTACTGCTAACATTCTCCAGTGCATTTACTTCACATGAATGCAAACATTCAATTGTACTGCCAACATTCTCCAGTGCATTTACTTCACATGAATGCAAACATTCTATTGTACTGCTAACATTCTCCAGTGCATTTACTTCACGTGAATGCAAACATTCTATTGTACTGCTAACATTCTCCAGTGCATTTACTTCACATGAATGCAAACATTCTATTGTACTGCTAACATTCTCCAGTGCATTTACTTCACGTGAATGCAAACATTCTATTGTACTGCCAACATTCTCCAGTGCATTTACTTCACGTGAATGCAAACATTCTATTGTACTGCTAACATTCTCCAGTGCATTTACTTCACGTGAATGCAAACATTCTATTGTACTGCCAACATTCTCTAGTGCATTTTCTTCACATGAATGCAAAAATTCTCTTGTACTGCCTCCATTCTCCAGGGCGACGTTCTTCTTATCAGCTGCCAACACAGATTACAAACAAGTGCGGATTCTGTATGACAATGGGAATGAGTTCGCTTCCCACACCGTAAACCACATCTTGCCAGATGGTGGGACGAAAGAGGAATACAAAGAAGAGGTAATTGAATCGTTTTTGTTTTTGTTTTTTTTACTATTATATCTGTCTTTCCTCTTGTGTCTATCTACAGCTTGTTCTATACAAGCCAAGTACCATACGATCAATGATGACCCCATACTGTTCTCAGCTCGTTATGTGCGAATGTTTTGTTAGATTATCTCTTTCTGTCCCAAACAACGCCCCCTCTGGGCTCAGATTGTCTGTGTGTGAAACACATTATGTGTTATTATTTACTTCATGTTTGGTCTGCGTATGCAAAAAAAATCTGGCAAAATATTTCAAATGCAGCACAGTATATACTATATAACATGAAAGTGACACACTGGTACCTTTTTCCCTTAAAGAAATATCAAGTATGGATGAATTATGAAATTGTGAAAAAATTATTCGTAGAAACAACGGACAAAAAAAAAAAAAAAAAACCCCACACTATAGAGTATGTAATAATAGACACAGAAATACGTAAGATGTGCAGAGTTGCCGAAGAGGCATGGATTCAGAAAAAAATGTAAATAAATAAAGCAACTGGAAAGTAAAGATCACAGAAAAGAAATGCGTGAAAACATAACAATGTTCACAAACAGGACAGCATATTTAACAAGATGGTTGCATCAGAGAAAAAGATGGAGAAATTCTAGTTGATAAAAATGATGTAATCAAAAGGTGGACTGAATAGTACACAAATGACAGAGGCATGAAATCAATACAGTTTTATCTTCATGATGAATAAAACATTTTAAAAGCTGAAGTGAAGAAAGATTTTAAAAACATGAAGGATGGAAAAGCCGCAAGTCCTAACAAAAAAAAAAAAAAAAAAACGGAAGTGATAAAATCATTATCAAGTTAAGATCCCCTTTCACGCACTTAGGCTTAACAGGTAGATACAAAAGTGGGATATGGGAAGAGCGCCCATATTTTTACAGACCATCGGCACTAGGTGGGTAATGTGGTCAGCATTACGCCGGCCGTCTTTACTTCCTTTCGGCTTTGATAGCATCGCTAAAATTTGTAATGTTATTCAGAATACTGGGTGCATACCAAACTATTTGGAAACGTCTATTTTTGTCACAGAGCTCCCCCCAAAAAAGTCAAAAGTCGTTGAGTGTGAAGAACACAGAACAATTAGTTTATTAAGCCATATAATTAAGATACAGTTAGAACAAGTTACAAGTTTCTCCTTCCTGGGACACTTTTTAATTGAGGATAGTAAAAGCGAAACAGAAATCAGACAGAGAATACGAGTGGTTAAAACTGACTCCCATAAGATGCGCAAATTACTGTAAGCTAGAGTAATAAACAACACAATAAAATGAGAAATATCAGATGTTATGTATACCCAGTCCTGCTATATTTGTGCAGAAACTCGGACACTGAACAAGCAACTAGAAAATTTGGTCAGTTTGCACGATATTCTCCCCAGCTATACACAATAGCTCCCTTCTGATTGGTTGACCTTGAGTCACGCGCCCTTGGCACACTGCTGCGGGGGTGTTCAGCAATGCCGTTGATATTGCGTGTTGAATATTTAAGCACGCCAGAGCTTTTAACAATACAAAAAAGTTTAGAAACTGGGCCTAACACACAACCTCCACAGAGAGTGCTCCAACCTATGTCATACGCATTCTCTTTCGCGGAAGAAAAAAGTAAATGCAAGACATACCAAAAAGCAAACAACATAACCGTAACACCACGGACAGCAGACCAGTCTAAAAAATGTATAAATGGAACGTGGCTTAGTTCGACTGGGGAGATTATCGTGGAACTGACCGAAAACGAATTGAGTCCCTGGAAATGTGGGTATACAGAAAATGGGTCATTTTTCATGGAGACAAAAACAGTCCGCTACAGAGGTTCTGGAAAGGCTGCAGATGAAAACAGAATTACTAAAATAAATTGAAAAGAGACAATTGAAATACATTAGCGAAATTAAAGGACGTAACACACTTTAGAGAACAATACTGGAGGGAAAGGTCGAAGGTAAGAGAGCAAGAAGTGGGCAACGATACAAGTGGGAGGATAACATTAGGAGATGGACGGGCAGCAGTCTGAGAGAGTGTACAAACAGGACCAGAGACAGATCATGTTAGAGATCCAGTGCAGTTAACTTTCACTGTGGAGACGGCACCTGACTGATCGATTTTCACTGTGAATATTGTGCCAGACTGAAAGAGTTAGACCTCTATTTCCTATATGTTCCTTTAAAACTCTTTCAGTCCTTCTCTTTTCCATTCTCTATCTCTCTATCTTGTTTATATGACTATCATTCTAGTAGATGTGAAACCGAGATAAAGAGCAGGATATGCCAGGCAAAGGTGGCATTCGAAAATATGAAAAATATTTTATGCAACAGGTCTCTCTCATTTTACATAAGTATGGTTTAGTGTCAGTTTATCTGTCTGTCGTCCATCCACCCATCCATCCGTTCACCGACCCATCCTTCAACAATCTTGGTTGATTTCATTTTTCTGTCCACAGATTGTTGGAATTCGGGAACTGCTGGTCTCCGAAGTCATGGCTGATGAGACCAAGGTAGTCGGTTACAGGGCGCCTTTCCTGAAACTGGCTGGAAATCAGATGTTTCAGGTGAGCATCAGTGTTGCCACTTTGGATGTTTTACATCCAGATTTAGATGTTTCTAGATATTTTTTGACTCCGTTTTGGATGTTTTTTGTCAAAGAAAAGTGGCAACACTAGTGAGCATTGCTAATCTCTGCTGGCTTTAACAGCAGGTGGCAACTTTCTGAAGCTAAAACTGCTGGTGTTTACACATTTGATACGTCTAGTAGTGATATATACAGAATTTGAATACTTAGGAAGCATCTTTATGTAAAGTGGTAAACAGAGAGATAGAATCGAGATCCAAAAAGTCAACAATCTCACTTACAAACTGGCTCCAGTGATAGATAAAACATCCTGCTATCTCAATTGACACAAACATTATAAATAAAATATTTATACAGCGCACCCTGGCTCGCCTGTCAATCGTCTTGATGAACTGCGACGCCTAGCAGCAGAAGCAGAAGCCAGCAGGTACAACAAAAGAAGAAGAAGTTGTGATTTGGTTGGACATACAGAATTGTAATAATCTTTATAATAATAATTATTATTGTTATTAATATTACAAAGAATAGGGGGGATGGTGAATGAAAAGGAGAGGACGAAGAAAAAGTAAAGACAGAAGGAAATATTAGCCATACGGCCCTGCCTTATAACCACGTTTTTTAAAGCTTATTGGAAAGTAAAGACATGTATTCTTGGCGTTATTGATGCATGTTATTGTAAGATCTATGGAAGTAAAGACATGTATCCTAGTCATTTCAGTGTATGTTATTGTAAGATCTAGTAAAGTAAAGACATGTATTCTTGGCGTTATTGATGCATGTTATTGTAAGATCTGTGGAAGTAAAGACATGTATCCTAGTCATTTCAGTGTATGTTATTGTAAGATCTAGGGCAGTAAAGACATGTATTCTTGACGTTATTGGTGTATGTTATTGTAAGATCTAGGGCAGTAAAGACATATATTCTTGACGTTATTGGTGTATGTTATTGTAAGATCTAGGGCAGTAAAGACATGTATTCTTGACGTTATTGGTGTATGTTATTGTAAGATCTAGGGCAGTAAAGACATGTATTCTTGACGTTATTGGTGTATGTTATTGTAAGATCTAGGGCAGTAAAAACATATATTCTTGGCGTTATTGGTGTATGGTATTGTAAGATCTAGGGCAGTAAAGACATATATTCTTGACGTTATTGGTGTATGGTATTGTAAGATCTAGGGCAGTAAAGACATATATTCTTGACGTTATTGGTGTATGGTATTGTAAGATCTAGGGCAGTAAAGACATATATTCTTGACGTTATTGGTGTATGGTATTGTAAGATCTAGGGCAGTAAAAACATATATTCTTGACGTTATTGGTGTATGGTATTGTAAGATCTAGGGCAGTAAAGACATATATTCTTGACGTTATTGGTGTATGGTATTGTAAGATCTAGGGCAGTAAAGACATATATTCTTGACGTTATTGGTGTATGGTATTGTAAGATCTAGGGCAGTAAAAACATATATTCTTGACGTTATTGGTGTATGGTATTGTAAGATCTAGGGCAGTAAAGACATATATTCTTGATGTTTTTGGTGTATGTTATTGTAAGATCTAGGGCAGTAAAGACATGTATTCTTGGCGTTATTGGTGTATGTTATTGTAAGATCTAGGGCAGTAAAGATATGTTTTCTTGTCGTTATTGGTGTATGTTATTGTAAGATCTAGGGCAGTAAAGACATATATTCTTGACGTTATTGGTGTATGTTATTGTAAGATCTAGGGCAGTAAAGATTTGTTTTCTTGTCGTTATTGGTGTATGTTATTATAAGATCTAGGGCAGTAAAGACATATATTCTTGACGTTATTGGTGTATGTTATTGTAAGATCTAGGGCAGTAAAGATATGTTTTATTGTCGTTATTCGTGTATGTTATTGTGAAATCCAGTGAAGTGAAGATATGTTTTCTTGTCGTTATTGGTGTATGTTATTGTGAAATCCATTGAAGTAAAGATATGTTTTCTTGGCGTTATTTGCGCGTTTTCTAACTGCGCCCTCAAGTTTCTTCTTTCTTCTTCTTCTCAAAGTCCATGCCGTATGATGTTGGTGGTCATGTTTTTTCACAACCTTCTGTCTCGTGTACTTTTAGTCAGCTCTGACATAGATGATCCTCCATGCCATAATGTCAAACTGACCAGAATCTTTACTCTCGGTCTTAGGTATGTATGTAATGTGTGTCGGCATGTATGTGGGTGTGTGTATGTATGCCTGTGTAGGTATGTATGTAATGTGTGTCGGCATGTATGTGGGTGTGTATGTAATGTGTGTCGGCATGTATGTGGGTGTGTATGTAATGTGTGTCGGCATGTATGTGGGTGTGTATGTAATGTGTGTCGGCATGTATGTGGGTGTGTATGTAATGTGTGTCGGCATGTATGTGGGTGTGTATGTAATGTGTGTCGGCATGTATGTGGGTGTGTATGTAATGTGTGTCGGCATGTATGTGGGTGTGTATGTAATGTGTGTCGGCATGTATGTGGGTGTGTGTGTAATGTGTGTCGGCATGTATGTGGGTGTGTGTATGTATGCCTGTGTAGGTATGTATGTAATGTGTGTCGGCATGTATGTGGGTGTGTGTATGTATGCCTGTGTAGGTATGTATGTAATGTGTGTCGGCATGTATGTGGGTGTGTGTATATATGCATGTTTGTGGATGTGTGTATGCATTTGTAGATGTATAAGTATACGGGTGTATGTGTGTGTATTTAGGTATGTATGCATGTATGTGTGTAAAGATGTAGGTGTATGTATTGATGTGTGTATGTATATGTGTGTATGTATGTTTACATGTGAGTGTGAATGTGTGGTTGTGGGTGTCTGTACATGTGAATGTATGTGTGTGTATGCTTGCATGCATGTGTAGGTGTGTATGTATGGAATGTGTGTGTGCATATTTGTCCATATATGTATGTGTCTGTCTTTTTTGTTTGTGTATATATGTAGATGTATATATGTATGTGTTAGGAATGTCTGTATATGAGTGTGCATGTATGAGAATGTGAAAGCATATATATATATATATATATATATATATATATATATATATATATATATATATATATATATATATATATATATATATATATATATATATATATACGTGTGTGTGTGTGAGTGTGTAAGACTGTGTACACATGATGTATGTATTATATTCTATAATGTATATTTTTATTCTATATCTATAACATGCATTTTAGATAACAGGCATTGGTACTCTGAAAAACGAATACTTAGAAGGGCCGAATGTCAGACGGGCCTGCGTGCCCAATTTGTAACCCTTTGAAAATAAATTTTGTTCGTTCGTTCGTTCGTTCGTTCCCTCCAACTTTCCTACTGTCACGATGTACTCTAGTTTTCTTCTTCTTATGACATGACCAACGAATGTAAATAGTCTCTTTCTGATGTGAGCAATCGGTGTTTCTTCTTTAGTTATTGTGGAATAGTTTTCAAACTAAATGCTTGTCATCACGTCGGTCAGTAAATGCTGTTTATAACGTCACAGCACTACCACGGCCCACCCTCCAGATGCTGTTTATGTGTTTGTTTTAGGTTTTACACGGGAACAACTTTCGTTACGATTCAAGCATCTCCAACATTGAACGCAAAAAGGGCAAGTCACACCTTTGGCCTTTCACCCTGGACTTTCCGATTCCTCAAGAAAAGTAAGTAACGTTTTCATGTCCTTTCAAAGTTGGATGTGACGTCTCTTCTGTTTGTGCTGTCTTCCTTCCGATGTTTGAAAAACAAAAATAGAAACAAAGTTTAATTTTACATGCTCTATAAGTCGTTTCAGAACCAACCCTAGAATTTTTTCTGGCGGTTGCGGTTTTCTGAGCATACTTACCTTCAGTAGTTTGCCATTGCCTACTAAACGGTATGTTCCCGTTACCACTATCGAAACTAACGCAAACAGTCAGCTGCCAAATCGTCTGCAGCTGGAATCGAACCCGGCATCCCGTCATTACGAAGGGCGTTCGCAAAGCCTTAGGTATAGATGCCGACATTATTTAGATCTACATTATCTAAACTAAAATCCCTCTGTGAGTTTCGCAGCCCTGTTTGGGCAACGATTAGGGGAAAAAAGGAGGGGGGGGGGGTGGGAGGAAGGGACGAATACGTCTGCTAAGAAGCATGACGTGAAAGGTGACTAGTTAGTGGTTTGTTAAAACGTGTCAGACGGAAAGACGCCATTATGACACCCTCACTATAAACAACAAAACAACTTGCCAACACCCTGTAGAGGGCATAATTCAAAAATAAAACAAAAACGTTTTCTAAGAAGAAAAAAATGTTTTTGTGGTGCCGTATTAACAATGGGGGTTGCCAACAACAACAACACACACAACACACACACACACACACACACATATATATATATATATATATATATATATATATATATTTATATATACACGCACACGCACGCACGCACGCACGCACACGCACACACATACACATATCATTATTTCTAGGAATATTAAATAATGAGATGCGATAATATTATCTGTGAGACTTAACAATATCCGAAAGTCACATCCAAGGCTGAATATTAACTTTTCGCCTAAACGCCTTTTTTGGGCAAAAATCAGCCACTTCGCAAACAGTAAAGAGAAAGCTCTTGGCCTTTATACTTGAGGGCTACATAACAATGATATCAGAATCATCGATTGAAAAAAAATAGAATATACATCAAGAACACCATATATCTAAACCTGCACAGTTCGTAAAAAGGAGAGGAAGGGGTCGACCAACACAAAGATGGGCACAGGAAATGACTGCTTGGAAGTAAAAGTCGGGGAGGCGGGAGAGCTGGGAGAGACCGAGTTTCTTTCAGGCAGACCGTAGTGAGAACTTTCGTTCAGTAAATGACCTGCTACATAGTGATGAGGATGATGATGATGATGATGATGATGAGGATGATGATGGTGGTGGTGATGTGAAAGAATAGCATTAAAAACAACAGTTTCTGCAACACAAAAATTGCTTTGCATAGTTTTTAACTGGAGAAAAAACACCTGCTACGCATCCCTTTTTTCTTCTTCTTCTCCTTCTTCTCCTCCCCATACCCCTTCTGCTGCTCGTTTCCACCTTCTTCCGCTATTTTAGCAGAATCCTTAAACCAGGTTACACCAAGCTGTCTTATGCTTTGCTATATTTCCTAACACCTCTCCTGTCACACGAATATTAGCAATCCTATCCTTCTCTAATCCTTACATTTTTCTCGCCCCACCCCCTTCTCTCCCCCACCCCCTTCTCCTCTCTCTCTCTCTCTCTCTCTCTCTCTCTCTCTCTCTCTCTCTTTCTCTCTTTATAACTCTTTCTCCAGTATATCGTTGCCTGCACACAAATAAGCCAGATCTGTCAAACTCTTTCTCCAGTCTATCGTTGCCTGCACACAAATAAGCCAGATCTGTAAAACTCTTTCTCCAGTCTATAGTTGCCTGCACACAAATAAGCCAGATCTGTAAAACTCTTTCTCCAGTCTATCGTTGCCTGCACACAAATAAGCCAGATCTGTAAAACTCTTTCTCCAGTCTGTCGTTGCCTGCACACAAATAAGCCAGATCTGTAAAACTCATTCCTCGTGTGGGTTCCAGGCGCCATTTTGAGGAAAGCAAGAACAGAGCCACCCCATTTCCAACAAGCAGTCGTAAAAATCGACCAATTAGAGGTGTCCCTATCACAGTCAAAGGGCATCTGCCGGAGAGGCAAGGCACCAACCACTACAAATAGGCCAGATGTGTAATAAAACATATGTGCACACAACACTCACTTTTTGGAATTTGGCGAACAGCCAGAAACTTCCGTCGGAGTTGAAGGCCGGTGAAAGCAAAGAAGATTGAGAAGAAAAAGGAAAAAAAAAACTGAAGTTCTAGAACAATACAAAAGTCCAGAAGTGGACGAACTACCAGAATTTTATGTCGGAACTTATAGCCTGCAAAATCTAGAAAGTGGATTTGGTTTCCAGTGAATAAACATTTTATTCACAATACTAACTACAATCAGTATTGCCTCTTTACACCACTAGCTGTCCAAACGGCCCCTGTCCAACCGAAAGCTTCCCTGGTCTATGGGAGGTGCCGCTGAATGCCTACACAACAGATGAAGGCCACTGTGCCATGATTGACGCTTGCATTGTGGCAAACACGACAGATGACAAGGAAGTGGTCAGAGAAAAGTACCGTCAGTTTTTCAAGCAGAACTTCAAAGCTTTCTATTCTGAAAAGGTAAGAATAAGTTCCTACTCCTTCTAATTTTGTGATAAGGCTATGCAAGCTTATTGTTTCTGCTGGTACCAACAATTTTAATTTAAAGACCATAGGGAGAAATCGGGCAACACGCCGAGGAAAGATGAACAGAGATTCACCAAATAGTAACGCAAGTGAGAACAAACGGAAACAAGAAGGTAAATGCACCCTAAAGAAACTTTAAGAGGATAGGTTAGCGGTACTGAACTGAATTACTTCCATGATATTGCAAACGACAGTTTTGGGGTTTTGAACAACATATTAACATCATGGCAGACGGGTAGTAACCCATAAGTGCTCCGTTTTTTCTAACTAGTCTGAGGCCGAAGAAGCTCAGCACAGTACACAGGCTCTGTAGCACAGGCGAGGATCCTGAAATACTTTGGGTAGAATTTTAACTCTAAATTTTGCCCGGGCAACGCCGTTAGGCTACTCTTTTCGATTCCCAACTGATAATACATACGGGCGTCCGATCTCACTATACAGAGACCAGTGGGAATTACCAGAAGTCCAAGTCCTCGAATAAAAAAGTCCCAGCCTTTACCGGGGATTGAACCCGGAACCTCTAGCACTCGAGGCGGATACCATGCCTCGAGAGCACACAGCCTCCCTTTTCACACGACGGAAGGGAGTGGAAGAATCGACTTCATGCTCTCAATGACCTACTGGGGCATCAGAGGCTGATTTTATATTATTTTATCACAATCGACGTTACTGGACGTTAGTGCAGACTGAGCATTCCCATGCGTGCTCAGTTCTCCAAAAAAGTAGCTACACCAAGGTATGTCTGCTAACTGTAAGAGGATGGTTTTAATGTCCCCTATCTCGGCCTCGAAGGCTGCGTAAACGTGCTTCACCACGGTTTACTCCCATGTCACGCAATCGTATAAATGTGTTAGAGATTTGTCATTATTCACTAGCCTAGTCCGTCCAGAGCTGAAGCTATCTGCTTTGTCCATGCTTCTTCCATATGAGTGGGTGCATGGCTGGCCAGTTGTTCCGCTCGCTCATTACTCTTTACGCCTGTATGACCAGGTATGTTGATCCAGATGAAGGTGGTTAAGTGCGATTTTAAAATTAAAGGATTTGGATTCAGGTGAGGGGGGTTAAGTCCGATGTAAGAATAAAAGGATTATGAGGATTATGATATAGCTCCGTGTGTGTGTCATAGCTCAGGTGGGCAAACCTTGTACTGTAACAGCAGAGAGACGAAGTAATGTTCCAATCAGCCAAGGCGCCAACTTCAGAGAATGATTTCTCTATATGCAAAAATTGAAGTTAACAGAAAGCCTTTTTTTTACGCACTTGGTGCATCTGGCAGATGATGTAAGACAGGCCAGCTAAATAAAGTGAAGGAGCCTCTTCATCGAATATATAGTACTAGTTATTTTGATAGACCAATGGTCACAGGTGGGGGATGTGATCAACATCATTGACGTCCCAGGACACCAGCAGATGCCCATTTAAGTCTGCATCGCTTTGTTAGCCAAGATCAGTTTTTAAAACACTTCGTGCCAGTGTAGAATCGAACCCAAGACATTCGAGTCCACAGGTGATCGTCTGGCGCTACGCTTCTGCGACCCCCAAACACAACATTTATTGAATAACAATTCATTGTTTTTAAATGAATATCTAGTAGAATTGGCTCCTAAACAGCATCCTTTCCCGAAAGTTGAGGGATTGGACCACGTCAAGCGTCATAGTGGTGTGACGAGAGCGGTGATGCAACTAGGGGGAAGTTTCCGGAGAAACCAAGCAGATTCAGAGCTCCGCGAACACTTTCAAGATGCATTGGTACATAGGGCTGGTCAACTGGCCAAAGAAATATAACTTTTAAGGCATGCTCATACGAGAGCGACGTTCTGTACACAACCTGTTGACTGATGATAATGATATATAATATTTCTTTGCCCTCTGCACATTATCCTCCTCCTCCTCCTCCTCACGCACAGTAATTATGAACGCCATCTTGGTTTGCATTATTCAAATGTGCCCTGTCTGAAGACTGCTAGTACAGAAAACCGCACAGGAATATCCTGTCAAGGGTGGGGGAGGCGTCGGGAAGCAGATATTCATTTCCATATGTTGCAGACGCAGCCGCATTTGAAGTTATCACGTGAGATCATCGGAGACATAATCAATGTGACTTTCTACAGCAGCAGAACTTAGCGATTCTGTCCGTTTTCTGGTCCTTTCTAGTACTTTCTAGCATTGTGTGTCTGTTTATGTGTGTGTGTGTGTGTGTGTGTGTTTTAAATGTCTTCCAGCTGTCTCTGCCGTTCCGACATCCTCTAGTAAAGTAAAGGCTCACCCTTTTCCATGCTTTCGGGCGTGTGGGGCATATAGGGCTAGACCTATATTTTATAGACCATCCGGCACTGGATGTGAGATGCGGTTAGCATCACACCGGCCGCCTTTACTTCCCACGACTGTACCTGGTACCAACCCAGGGCAATAGTGACGTATGTATGTGTGTGCAAACACACACACACACACACACACACACACACACACGTTCCCACTTTATCTTTCCGTCCATCTGGCGGCCTCTGATCTGTTCGTTGCCCCTCCTTCTCCTCCTCCTCCTCCTCCTCCTCATCATCATCATCATCATCAATATTATTATTATAACCCACTTCAGGACTAAATCCTGTAAGCGCCCTCCCATCCCAGGAAACAGTTGAAGAGGCTAACGCCCCCCTCCACCTTTCCCTTGAGCACCCCAGTATTTCCTGTGTGTCAATCCACACTTCTAGAGACAAACAATATTATGTGGTCATATTAAGAGATGGGACACAATGCGTCAAGATCAACGTAAAAAGCTACAGTCTGACTCACAGGAATGTCACAAGATGGTCTAAAACTGAGCAATAAAGGAATAAAAAAAAAAAAAAAATCACTAGTGTATTTTTCTTGGTTTAATTTTAGCCTTAAAAAAAAGAGAGGGTTGAAATGGGTGGGGAAAAGTGAGGGGGGGGGGGGGGGAGGGTGCGCGTGCTTTTGGCACATTGTGTTGAGGCTTGCAGCTAGGTTGTGTAAATATGCCCTTTGACCCGACACATCTGACTAAAGCCCTAATTAGTAGTCTTTTGTCATATTCTTTTTAGAGAATCTTCAGAGAATCCGGCACTCTTCCGAATAACGGTCCCAAATTATTCAAAGACAAAACATCCCATTCAGGTCCTCAAGAGGTCGTAGTTAGGGACTTGAGAGGTCATGTAGTTCAAAATATGGAAAGGAGCACTGTGAACTATGCTTTCTTTTATATATATATATATATATATATATATATATATATATATATATATATATATATATATATATATATATATATATATATATATATATATATATATATATATATATATATATAAATAATTTTAATTATAATTTAGTTTGAACAAAATTACCGACGTCTTCGCTACTACAGTTGATAAGCATTCTGCCTGTTACGCTGGTGATCGGGGTACGATTCTCCGGCTGGCTAATTTTTTTTTTCTTTGCAAGGGTGGTTTGCACGTTGTGTTGTGGTTAACAGCTAATATTTTGTATAACCTCTTTATAACCCCTTGAACCCCTTGAGGCTCTAAAAGGGATGTTTTGGACAGTAAGTAATTTGGGACCGGTATTCGGAAGAGTGCCGAGAATCCTTTCTTTTTCCGTCTAAACAGGGACTTTCTGAAATGACTGGATTGAGACTTGATGAGGCACTAAAGTTATATAAAGCTCTGAAGCACTAACCGTTTTAACTAACACCAGCTAATCTAAGAAAACGTGACAGTATATACACCGTCTTTAAAAATATGGATGATGGGAATATATTGTTTAATTTTTAGTAAGAGAAATATTACAACAGATCCGTATAAAGGCTCTATTAAACAAACACAAAATCAGCATGTGCGAACACACAAAAAGGAATTTGTTGACGCTCCTGCAGGTTCTAAAGCACTAAGCTGCATTTTAGTTAGTACCTTAGTTACTTATACGCAAATCCGACACTAGATGGGACACATATGGAGAACCCCTAATTTCTAGGACCCACGTCTAAGCATGCTCTGTGCAGAGTTGCAACTATCGCTTCAGAGGTCCCCAGTAGTTAGCGTGCTTTTGATATTTTCTCCAGGTAATGCTGGTGTGTTGGGAAACGAGCAGTCAGACAAACTGGATGGTTCTGCAACACTTGGTGGTGAACTGATGTATGACAAGCTAGGTGTTGTGAGAGCCATTTGGGAGTGAGTGACAGTGTAGAGGCGCAGACAGATCATTACGGTCTGAGGAGAATAGCGCTGCAGGGAGTTACCAGAGGAACTAGCCGTCGCTCAACACTCAGGAGGAAGGCAAGGCGGACGTTCAGTCAGTAACTGGTACTATCGGAATTAAATCTCTTCGCTTACTGCTGAAGATATGGACGGAGCACTTATAGCAGTATCCCGAGTGCTGTGAAGTCAATTCTTAAATCAACATTGTCCGAGTAGAACTCAAACACAATCTATCAAAAATGATGACACCACAATAATACTGATTATCTATTAAACTGTAGGACATTAATCATCTTGTTGTACCTCTTTTCCCCGCTTAGGTACCAATGCATATTTTCACGCACTCTTCGCTATTCCTGAGACACCAGGGAAGTTTTGAAGCCCTTGTTGACTGTATGAAGGAGATAAACGACCTGCCTGAAGTCTGGTTCCTGACGCCATCTCAAGTTCTAGATTGGATGAAAACGCCAGTTTCCAATGACGATGCAATCAAAGGCGCTATTCCCTCGTGGACTTGTCAGGACTCTGTACACTAAATGGTTATCGATAGCAACAATTCAGTGTGCTTGAACTAATGACATTTGTGTGAGTTCAATACACCTGATATTTCCTGTCCTTCACATGCAGTTTGTTGTTCGTATATACTTGATTAGCTTGTCTGAAGAAGAAAGTGAATAATAATAATATCAATAATAATAATAATAATAATAATAATAATAATAATAATAATAATAATAATCATAATAATAATAGTAATAATAGCAAGAAGAAGAAAAACAAACGAACGAACGAACTTTCAAAGGGTTACAAATTGTGAACGCAAGCCTGTCTTCCATTCGGCCCTTCTAAACACCCATCTTTCACACAGCAGTTGTATTTTATCGATAAAGCATGTAATGCTCATAAAATACGCATATTATGAATATCTAGCAAAAACACAAAAGCATGGGTGATTAAATGCATGCACACACTTGCGCGGGGGCAGAACTACCCACATACATACGAAAACCCACTCACTAATTGCACACTCATATGCACGCACATACTTTCATACATAATTACATACGTACATATATAGATACAAACATACGAGCACATAAGAGTGCATAGGCATTTACAGCTCGCTCTTCATGCAGAACAGTTAAGGAAGCCAGCGGTGCCTTCTCCATGACCACCAGCAGCCTGACGATGGAGGTGATGGCGGTGACACAAGCTTTCATGTGGCTGGGATCACAGGACTATTCCTGTGTGTGTGCTGAGTGATTCTTTAAGGATGATCCGGCGGGTCGAGGCAGGCTGGTTACGCAGACAGTGGCTTGAGTCATTGCAAAATTATCCTATGTGTGCAGTTACTTTCATATTCGTCACAGGGCATGCAGGCGTTGTTGGTAATGAGAGAGCTGACAGACTGGCAGGTGCTGCATTATTTGAAGATCGCTGGCTCATGGATCACGCAGACATTGTCATTGCCCTTTGGTTGTTCGTTCACTTCTGGAGTTAAGTGTTGTTCCAGAACTGGAGTTTACGTGAACATCCGTTTTTTCAGATACACTCCGACGTTGAATGAAACGGCTATAATAAGTAGTCTTTTACGACATACTTTTTAAGGAGGAGTGGGTTTATTCTCTCTCTCCCCCCCCCCCCACATAATGGGGCTCCGAAACCCACACGGGGACCAAAAAAAAAAAAATATATATGTATAAACAAAACTTGAAAAGAAAAATTTCATTCATGGGTAGAGGAGCTAGTAACTTGGCCTATTTGCAAAATTAATGGAGAAAAAGGGGCGCTGAAGCGGCAGAAACACGCCCCCACCCCCAATATTTTTGGGCTCGGGCGCTTAACGCTGAAGCCCCCGTGGTTAAGCACTTATGGGCCCAATGTTATATGATGTCACCACATAAAACTACGGCTAACGCTTTTCATGTCTCGCTGTTACAAGCATCAAGCTGCAATGACAAACGACACAACACCAGAGCGGCAGTATTTTTTAATCTGAGGCTGCATGAATAAACAGCGTGATTGCATAACGCCCAGTTACAATGTACGTTACAGAACATCTTCCAGCGGGCGCAGTGACACAAAGACAACAAGAACCTTTATAGGAACTTTGCCAAGCCTACAGGTGTTTTGGGCATATGGGACCAGACCTATATTTGTATGGACCAGTCGACACTCGGTGCATGATGTAATCAATATCATGCCGACCGCGTTGACTTTCCTGGAATTTACCTGATAGCCATTTGAAGCTGGGTCGACCTGAAAGCCAAGGTAATTTTTGAAATAGTATCGGCTGGGTGCAGGACCTAAACCTACGACCTTTGAATCCGCGGACGATCGTCTAACGAGTTTTTCGAACTTTTTGTGCCACGTTCCACCTAAGCAAAGGATCCTTTTCCACACCTTCAGGTGTTTTGGGCATATAGGGCTAGACCTATATTTTATAGATCAAGCGGTTCTTTCCTAATAGCTGACCACATATGACGACACGGTACAGTCCAGTATTTTCGACGGTGAAAAGACTGGGTTTCCCCGCTGTCTGTGTTTTTTGCTTTCCGGCTTTCTGTGTGTCTACCAAGGAGTTACCAAGGCTTACGACCAATCGGCACTTAGTGAGGGATATGGTCAGCATCACACCGGTTGCCTTTGCTTCCCAGGACTGTAATGCCCCACCTAAGCCTTTCTAAAATTCGTTTGTCCTCAATGTAACTTCTACGAGTCTATTTTCGATTTGTCACCCTTAGCAATCAAATTTACCCCCTCACCCGACTTGAAAATCAAAAAGCTCCCTGTGGATCATGGAACCTTCTTTAGGAAACATGGGTCTAGCGACAACAACACACCGTTCCCTCCCCCCCCCCCCCAACAAAAACTGTTTCTCGTTTTGATTTTCTATTATTATTATTATTATTAATATTGTTAATATTATTATTATTATTATTATTAAAGCTAGAAATAAAGCCAGTCTCAGAGGTCATTAAAGAGCAATAAATGGAGTGGTTTAGAGACCTAACAAGAATGACATGGTTCTATCTACCACAGCGAGCCACACTGAAACGTTAAAACGGGTATGTAGCAAGCGAAAGACCTCATAAAATATGGGGTGATGGCATAGAAAACAGCCTTACAGAAATAAACATCAATCTTAATAATGCTCTTGACAGAGCTCATCAACGAACACTTCATCTCCCCTGGACACTTCGCTGAGGTACAAGGTGGAAGAGAAGAAGAAGAAGAAGAAGAAGAAGAAGAAGAAGAAGAAGAAGAAGAAGAAGAAGAAGAAGAAGAAGAAGAAGCAGAAGAAGAAGAAGAAAACGGAAAAGAAGAAGAAGAACAAGAAGAAGGAAAAAAGAAGAAGAAGAAAAAGAAAGAAGAAGGAGAAGAAGAAGAAGATGAAAAAGAAGAAGCAGAAGAATTATTATTGGGAGCTGACGTAATATACCGGTTAGATGCTTGCCTAAAGATAGTGGTTTCAGCTGCTTCAAAAATACCCTTGGCTCCCAGGTCGACCCATTTAAGACTGGGTACAGGGTATAGTCATGGGAAGTAAAAGCGGTCGGAGTGATGTTGATCACGCCACCCCTTGAAAGCCTATTGGTCTATAAAATAAAGGTCTATATGCCCAGTCTAGCTAAAGGTGTGGAAAAGGGTCCCTTAATTTTGCATTATTATTCTGTTGCTCAGGCGTTGCGAACGCGAGTTCGTAATGCCGGAGTGTCGGGTTCGACCTTAGCTACGAACGATCTGTCTTGCGTTGGTTTCAACAATGGTACCCAGAGCTGACAGCTCAAAAAGCAATGGCAAACTACTAATCGAAACATTTGCCTAGAAAACCCACAACAAACCAAAAATGCTAGGTTTGGTTCTGCAACGTCCTGTAAAGGATGCGGAACTAATTTTATTATTATTAATATTATTATTTTTTTTTTGGGTGCTGAATGGCCAAAAAAAAAAAAAAAAAAAATGAATTTGAAATAACATTTTGCATTATGCTCAAGACACAGTCTTGATAGCAACAAGTTAGAAAGAACTACAGGAAATGATAAACACTGTGGTGGTAGAAAGTGGAAGTATGGGCCTCAGAAGTAATGACTGTATCAAAGAAAAGAATTATTCCTAAATGTGTTATAAAAGTCAATGGCGTTATTTTCGGACAAGCTTACAAATTCAAGTATCTGGGCACATGGATAACATCAGATGGCAGATGCATTACTGACATAAGAAACAGATTAGGACAAGCAACAACTTCACTTTATAAAATAAAGAACACCTTATGCAATATATCTCTGTCATTGAAGGTTGGAAAAAGAATTCTTGCTTGCTATATACATCCAGTTTTAACATATGCCCTTGAGTCCTGGACAATCGGTAGGCAGGCCAAACAATTTCTTGAGGCCTCAGAAATGTTGTTTTATAGAAAAAAGCTTAAAATACATTGGACAGCCAAAAAGAGCAACCAAGAGGTTTTGAAAGAGGCTGAAGCCCAAAGACAACTTATCACAGACATCTGAAGGAAATAGTCATCATTTTCCGGCCATGTTATGAGAAGAGGGAAAAAAGAACATGTTGTGACCACTGGAAAGATTTGTGGGAGGAGGAACAGATCAAGACAAGGAGAAAATGTTCTGGACAGTCTTGTTGCATGGCATGGAGGTGTGTCAGCACACGTAAGTAATACCTGCTGCAGGAAATCGCGGAGAGGCATGATCGCTTTCGCCAGTCGTCAAGGCACCTGATGATGATGATGATGATGATGTTGATTTGAAATAATATGAATAGTATAAGTATACCTAAAAAGAGTGTCTAAACGGTTACTGAGACCACTTGACATCCTTGAAAATATAATAGTAACCCACTTAAAATAATCGTGGAGCGGGGGCAAGGGGTGGGGGGCAAAAAAGGGGGGGGGGGTGAGGTGGGTACGGTATATCTCCAGATTGCAGCCTCCTTGTCGTCTAGTGGTCGTCTCGTCAATGAAGGTGGCAAGCCGTTTGACTCACGACCTTATGGTGGTTGGTTTGGTGTTGCGCTGCACCATTCACTCACTACTTTTTGTTTGGAGGTCCTGGCCATGGAAAGGTCGTCGCTGGAGCTATGGTGTAGGTGCTCTGTGCTACGCCCTCAGCAGACGGCTAGCAGCGTTGCTGTCAGATATTGTAGAAGACGATGAAGTAATTCCCCAGTTGGACGAAACAATAAGGCGATTTAGCAGTAGAGAAATCAATCAATCGATCAGTCAGATAAATCAATCAGGTGCCATCTCTAAGTTAAAGACCTGCTATGGTTACCCAAAACGGACTGTCTTCCACCCTACACTGTCCTCTTTCAGACTGGCGGGTGCTTTCTTAATAACCTACCCCAAACAGGGAAAATTCACAGATCACGGGAAGTCTTATATTTCAAGGGGTGGTAGATAGCCTTCATGCAGTCGTGTGACGTAGGCTCCACTCTCTCGTTGGATGTAGGTGGGTTGGGGTTAGGGCCAGTTCTAGATGTTTTGGTGTCGTTAAAAGCATCAGGAAGTCGGGAAACCCAG